CTTAATAGCTTTCTTCTTGGCAGAAGTGTCATCAACATTATTTTCATGGTTGCTAATATCAGTTTCATCTTTAAATTCTAAGTCACATTATTCACCTCCTCTTTGTTAGCATGCTTTTACAATATTGGAGCTAAAATTTGTGCTAGGCTTAGTTAAAGAATAATACTGACTAATTAAAACCTGTTTAACCCAAAAACTTATACTATATTTTTCAACATTGATACAAAAAATGTTTGAATACTATAGACTCTGATTGAGATATTAACAAATTATAAAAAAAATCTCAAAACTTTTTGGCAAACTAAGTACTAATTTATAGACATCAATTGAAGAACTATGACACCTATGTCAGTGAGAAAAGGAGGAAAACATAGTTTACTGCCCAACAATCCAAGACAACGAAGATTATCTTGTGTAGTGAAAGGGGCATTCAAGAGGCGACGACTCTTGGGAGAATACATGCTATTTAATATTCCCATGAATCGTCCCCTCTTGAACATCCCAACATCTTCCTTTGTATCATTCCTGCTTAGAAATTTGTTCATTTTTCTTGATACGTCTCCATCTTCCTAGGTATAATAATTTTCACAAATTTCAACTTTTTCCATTCTCGATCTGCAATTCACTTAAAAGGGTACAAAGAAAGTGAAAAGTTTAAAAATAAACAAAACATCTGTTCATTTTTCACAATCAGTAAAATCTTAAACCTACTCTACTATATTTAATTTACTTAAAAAAATCAAATGGTAGCCTAGTTCACCAATTTTTTGGTTTTGTTTAAGATGTTTGAATTTACTTGGAAAATATGAAACTGATATTCTATTAACTGTACATATAAACAAAAAACGAATTTCTATAATACACAAAAGAACTAAATTATGCCTAAATATTTAATTTTAAGTCAACTTCATCAATTTCAAACAACCATTTCTTAAAGTTTTTTAGAAAATGTTTTTTGTTCCTTGAGGTTTTAATGTTATCTGCCAGTTTATTAAATAACCAAGGCCCGATAAAAATAAAAGACTTAGTAAAAAATGTGTTTTAGTATAAATTAACTGTTTACTCTTCTTATTTATTATGTTTTTTATTAACTCTTAATAGCCTTCTTCTTGGCAGAAGTGTCATCAACATTATTTTCATGGTTGCTAATATCAGTTTCATCTTTAAATTCTAAGTCACATTATTCACCTCCTCTTTGTTAGCATGCTTTTACAATATTGGAGCTAAAATTTGTGCTAGGCTTAGTTAAAGAATAATACTGACTAATTAAAACCTGTTTAACCCAAAAACTTATACTATATTTTTCAACATTGATACAAAAAATGTTTGAATACTATAGACTCTGATTGAGATATTAACAAATTATAAAAAAAATCTCAAAACTTTTTGGCAAACTAAGTACTAATTTATAGACATCAATTGAAGAACTATGACACCTATGTCAGTGAGAAAAGGAGGAAAACATAGTTTACTGCCCAACAATCCAAGACAACGAAGATTATCTTGTGTAGTGAAAGGGGCATTCAAGAGGCGACGACTCTTGGGAGAATACATGCTATTTAATATTCCCATGAATCGTCCCCTCTTGAACATCCCAACATCTTCCTTTGTATCATTCCTGCTTAGAAATTTGTTCATTTTTCTTGATACGTCTCCATCTTCCTAGGTATAATAATTTTCACAAATTTCAACTTTTTCTATTCTCGATCTTCAATTCACTTGAAAGGGTACAAAGAAAGTGAAAAGTTTAAAAATAAACAAAACATCTGTTCAGTTTTCACAACCAGTAAAATCTTAAACCTACTCTACTATATTTAATTTACTTAACAAAATGAAATAGTAGTCTAGTTCACAATTTTTTTTTTTTAAGATGTTTGAATTTACCTGGAAAATATGAAACTGATATTGTATTAACTGTACATATAAACAAAAAAGGAATTTCTATAATACACAAAAGAACTAAATTATGCCTAAATATTTATTATTAAGTCAACTTCATCAATTTCAAACAACCATTTCTTAAAGTTTTTTAGAAAATGTTTTTTGTTCCTTGAGGTTTTAATGTTAAATGTTATTAATGTAATTAATGTTAATTTATTGTAATTTTAATATATCTATTAACAATAACAATAATTTACTTTTTCTTGGAATTGCCTTTTCTTTGATTAACATTAGTTACTTAACAAGAAAAAAACGCTCATTAAATATGCACTTGGTGTTATCTACAACAGTCAGTATCTTACAACACTGCAAATCTCTGACATTGATGATTGTGTGGTCATTCTTTGTTACAATGATTCTCTTACTGTGATGATGTTTTGTTATTAAGCTTTAAGGTGCAAACAGTTCCTGTTAAATTTCTCAGCTAGTACTTTACAATAAGATGACATTCATAAGTTTAAGCCGTAGATGCAATATTGGAGAACTGATATAAAGCACCAAAAACGCTCACAAAAACCATAGGCTTTGCATTAGGAAATGCTCAAAGAGCAACTGGACAGTTTCAATTGGAAATTATAGAGCATAAAAATAAAAAAACTCATTTAAATAATCCTATGTTAAAATGCTTAACATATTTCATTCAAAATCCTTTGACAATCAGCGACATTAATTTTGTATTGTAATTTTAAATTTACAACCGAACAAACGCCAAACCTATGTTTTAAACAAATTTTCTAACTTAAAAGCTTGGGCAGTATTTTTTTTTATATAGAAAATTTTACACATATTTAGATAAACAATTTGTTACATAAAACTACCACATAGGTAGAAAATTGCTACTTAATGAAATTGCCACTTATCACTATTACAGTTTTAAAAAAAGGAAGACAAAGTACTATCTAACACTATACAAGTGAAATACTCTACTTCTACTTTTGAATCTGACAAGAAACTTATCAAACTCTCCAACAGGGCAAAATTAAGAGGTTTCAACCCAGCATTCTAATGACAATTTTTAAAATAAGATCAAAGCTATGGTAAATTTATATCATACTGAGTCAAGTAAATAAAACTTTGTACAAAATTTAAAGTCTTCAGAATTAGAGAAATTGAACATCTTAGTAACGGAAAAAATAAAAAATTAAAATGTCTAGTTACAATTTATAGTATTGTAAGATGTATTGATATCTATTTTTTATACATCTAGGATCACCGGAATTTTATCCCCCTGGAATTTTACCCCCTGGGCAAAGCTGACGTCACTATGACGTAGTAACCAGAGTGGCCAAAAGTTTGTTCGCGGCCGGAATTTTACCCCCGCGGATTTGGAAGTCCAATGAAAATAGCCAGAGCGTGATTAATAAGATTAGCGATAAAAACCGGAATTTTACCCCCTGTCCATATAACTAGCATTTAGACAACTGAAGATGTACGGGCCGGATTTTTACTCCCGGAATTTTACCCCCTGGCCGATTTTAGAAATTGAATGATTGATTTTCTTATTTCTGTTTTTAATTAATTGTAAAACATTTCATTATTTAGTAGCCTATATTTATTTATTTTATTTTTTTGTAAAGAAATTTTCTAAACAATTATCACTCAGTTGATTGTTTATACGTCATATTAAAACCAACTGTTGGCTTCAAAGATCGAATCCTAATACTAGAATCTCAAAATTAAAATTTAAAACCTGTTCGATTTAGTTAATGTTACAAATAAATTAATATAGGCTACTTCATAACAAAATGTTTACTATTAAATTAAAACAGAATGAAGATAATTAATCATTCTCACTAATTTATATATCTGGCCAGGGAGTAAAATTCCGGGGGTAAAATTCCGGGGGGTAAAATTCCGCGGGTAAAAATCAGGGGGTGAAAATCAGGGGGTAAAAATCTGGAGGGTAAAATTCCAGGGGTAAAAATCCGCTACCCCGTAAATCCAATTAACCTCTATTCTTAATAACCTCTTAACCTTAACCTCTCTATCTTATTTTAAGTTTACCAAGACAATTTAAGAAGTGTTTTAAGCATGATTGAGTTATGGTTTTTCTTAATAACACTGCCTTTTTAAAAACATTTTCCGTGAAAATAGCAATTATTTATCATTTTGTATTCACTATGCATTGTTATTAAAACATAATTAGTCTTTGACTTTCTAATGTGGTACTATAACCCCTAACCTCAAAATCTAAGAGACCTCCGTGTTATCTGAGATGCTCTGTAACCGAGGTAGTCTCAGTCCCAACAACCTCGGTTAATTGAGACACTCTCTGTAGCGACAAAACGTAAAAAAGTTGGTTTTAGCTGAACTATTTATTTAGCGTTCATTTGAATAACCGAGGTTAATTCATGTAGAATGACAAGTATTGTTAAAATTAAAATGTCATTTTTGTAATCTTTACAAAATTTATAATAGGAATAATACATAAATATTATGTATGTTGAATGAGTTGAGTTGAAGTTTAATTTCATCGTAAAAGTTAAAATTTTTTACGAATACAAAAACTAAATAAATATTTACATTCTTATTTCTAGCTTGCAGAGTTCCGAGGAAGGCCCTGGCCTTGTCATGGTCGGATATAAGGTGTTCTATTATTGTAAGTGGAAATGCCCTTAGTCTTGAAGTTTGCTGCGGTGGGGGTATTTATATTATGATCTTAACATATTCAATATTATTTTTCACTGAGTTTATTAAAACCATGTAAATTAAAACCCCTAGTAAACGAAATAAAGGGTAAAAACCGTTTCGGATAACCTTGTTTTCTGAACTGCTTGAGATCCATGTGGTTGTCTACTCCATTACATATTGTTGGCCAAGCCAAACCAATTAATCGTGCCACGGTGGATAGTTCCTGTTGCCTAGCTAATTTTCCAATTGATTTTATGGTTCAGTAGACTTAATTTTTCATGAATCCAGACAAATGTAAATCTACAATTTCCCTACATATGGGCATGAAATTATTTACAATTAAGGAGTCAGTTATATCACACTAGTAAATGGTAAGCTGAGAGTCCTGCTACAGGGGGAGCGAGCTGGTCTAGTAGTAGAGCGCGGGGTTTCGGTATCCGAGGTCCTCCGCCGTTCACCAATGGATTTTATCCATGTGATAATGCCGCAACCCACTAGGACTAGCCTGAAGTAATGTGTAGTTCCGGGTTAGAAATCTTAATATCTACTCATACTTACTTAGTCATAACTAGCATTATGTTGTAGAGCATCCCGAATATGATATAAGCAGTATATGCCACAAACATAGAGTCAGTATTTGCACTGATCGCCAGAACCACTCCTTGCAGTATAGTCAACAGGCCAAGAAAGGCCTCTCCATATTTGGACCAGTTGGCATTCAGCTGACCAAATGCTAGAGTTGACACAGCACCTGCAAATGACCATCAATCATGAGCAAATAAGATCTAAAACAAAGAACAAACATTTCTATGGGTGTGTGATGCATAAAAAATAAATTAAATACGATTTGATTCTTGTGGGAAGGGCCGATTATAAAGCATTACATATGTATAGTTGGCACAGAACGTAGAGAGACACCTCCTCAGGTAGAACGGGCCGTCCTAATCGGTTAGGTTAGGTTAGGTTCACCAATCTCCCTGATCAATAGTCCCTAACACGCCCACTCAACCGCAAACCACGACAGGCATTGCTTGCCGTGACCCACCTCCGTCCATCCACAGTTAGCAGTAGACAGTAGTGTTTAGTTTCAGATGTTGTGTGTTTTTGTGTAGGTCAGTAAATTAAGTAAATAGAGTTACCCTGTTAATGATTTTGTATATGGTATATTGTATTGCATTAATAAAGTTACAGTGAACCCCCCCCCCCCCCCCTTCGACTACTACTCTTTCTCCAAAACCAGGGTGAAAGAAGATGTTTGCAAAAGTTCAACATTCTAATAAGGAGCTGAAAGTTGACTTGCAAGTTTCTTTCCATACTTGTTTTTTTAACAAATTGAAATCTATTGATATCTCATGATTCTGTTAAATATTGTTAACCCATTGGCGCCGACGTACGAGCGTTACTCGTACGGCCGCTGCAGGCCCGGCGGCCGACTTACGAGTGCCGCTCGTGTCACCGCTAGGCAGCGCCATTAGTTATTTAGTTATTATTATTTTTCGCCCTTTTTGTTTCTTCTTACTATTATAATGCTTATAAATATCTTGCTTCTTGATTTGCGTATTTACTCATTTATTTTAGCGAATAACAAACAATTTTGTGTTGCCATGGAAACCACATATCACCAAAAATCAGCTGCGGTAAGGTAAACAAACAATAAAAAAAAAATTTTATTACTTATAAAAGTACACAACTTTTGATTTTTCTACGTAGGGAATCGATTGAACTTTATAATAGTAGTGTTATTTGGTGTCTGGATTAATCTTGGAATTTGTATATCAAGTTTACTTTCAAAATATTGTTTTTAAAATTTTATTTTTATAATCTTTATATTTATATTTTTTTTAGTTTAGAACTTTGACTATCCAATTACCACTTTTCTGTAGACGATTTAACTGTGAACAAAATGGTGAAAGAATTATTAATTTATTACCTAAGGTTTTTTTTCTATAGCAGTTAGAGTAAAAGTCTACAAATTCGGTAAAATTAATTGCCGCCAGAGGGTGCTGCAGGTAGCGCATTAATTCCTTCCCCAATGGGTTAACATTATGGCATTTTGCTTAGTGACTGTTGCAAATCTTAATCATAGTGTTAAGTTTTGCAATAGTTTCCTATTATTTTCATTTTTCTTTTTTAGCGATAACTACAATTTCACAAAACAGCATAAACTAATAAGTATGGGAAGGTGGCAGTACCTGAAAGCCCAGATGTCATTATAATGGATACATTTATTGTGCATGACAAATGTTTCATCTTAAAGCTATGTGATATAAAGCGAACTCCACGGTCACAATCGGAAGAGTCTTGATAGAGGAGCTAAAAGCCCTGATCCCATTAAATCTCCTCAAGTTCCTAGAGCTGTTGTCCCTACTGAAAGAATGGCTCATAGCTTAAAATAATAATATATTAACAATTGACAAACTGCAAGAGGATTTTAAGAGATCAGAGATAATAATGTGCTAGGAGGATAACCTCTATCTTCTAATCTCAGCAAAACAAGCTTATGGGAATTTAAATAAAAAGATTTCTATAAGTACTTTAAACATATACTGTTCACTATAAGAAAGTGATGAATACATAAATAAGTGTAAGTGGTGATCAATTGGGCACTCAAATCATCATCAGTACCTATTAAGACACTGGCATACAATGCTATGTTAATAGTAGGAATATAGAAGGCAGACGAGCACCACACACGACGAGCAGACTTTACTCACCAGGGTTAGGGGGTTTATTTTTTTATTAGAAAGTTTGATGAATATAAAAGCCTTATGGTGGATGACCCATTGATTCTCGTCTTGAGTAAATCATAAGTTTTTATTTAAGTGCAAACTACAGTATGACTGAAATATTTTAAATATTTCAACAGATTACTATGAAATATAAAACTTAAACAACTAGAAAAATTAAAATAACTTACTAATAATCGTGTAAACCGCTTCCACTGCCCCATTGTAAGCAACTTGTTGTTTTCCTCCAATTTTAACCCAAAGAATTTGAACATATGTCATCATCTTCATATTGGAAACAAAAACCCAAAAACAAGCTTTAACTAAAAATAAAATACTCAAAAACAGGCCAAAATATCTAAAAATTCAACAAAACCGAAAAAGTGAATAATTACTAATGAAAACGTATTAAACACTAGACTTACTAACACAACCAAAAATAATTAGCTTTCAAATAAATCTATTTGATTAGCATAAAGTAAATATGTAAATCAAAATAAAACACGCAAAATTTAAAAAAAGTTTTTACTTGCACTTGTGATATTTTTGTTTAAACTTATACAGTTATGCTTTAACTCCAGGTAATTTTGTGTCAAAATTAGCAATTGAAACATGAAATTAAGGTAAACATAATATGCTAAAGATTAAAAAAGATGTATGGTTTTTATTGTATTATTTTTTTAATGTAAACCCCAAAAGCTTACTATTTAACAGTCAATAAAAATATTAGTCAACAAAATTGCAAGATTTTGGGTTGATTGGCAAAGCAAAAGGTTTGCCTCTTAACTAAATAAATATATTCCTCTGGCTAATTTTCTCAGATCTTAAAATATGCTTCAAATGATAATCATGAATAGAATAGAATAGAATAATAGAATAGAATAGATTTATTGGTCATTCAGTAATTACACTATAATTACAATAGACTTCGTCAAGTTTAAACAATAAGTAGTCATAATACACAAGAGTCATAAATAATAATCTCTACCTAATTTAAAAATCACAGCCTCTTATATCTAAATCAAAAAATTCATTGATGTGGTGCTAAAGCACCTTAAGTTAATTTGATCTTAAATTATTATTTAAATAATGAATTATATGTTGGGCTGCATTTACATTTGCCTTAACTGCAAACACTTATTTATTCAACTTTACAAGGCAATATTTTTTATTTAATTGGTTTTTCGAAAGATTGCTTCATTTTGGGTGTCAATAGAAAATCAAATTTCAAACTTCAAATAAAATCTAGACTTTTTACATATTTCTCATTATTTTATGTCTCCCTACTTTTATTACAAAGTCCAAACTGTAAAATCAAAGTTCAAAGTTCTTTGATTTACTGTTCCAGTTATAGCCCACAATTTTAATGTGTATGACCAATTGAAATTTTAGAATATAACTAAACTGGTAATACCTGATTGTAACCACATGTCGCTAGCGCCACCCAGATACAAAACTTGAGGACATACAGGTTAGTGTACGCATCTTTCAAATCCTTCCACAGTAAAGAGGCAACTTTATGGCAGTTTGATTCTCTTGGAGTGTCTGTATAAAAAGACAAACAGTTTTAAAAACAAAGTAATGTTTATATAATATTGTTTGTTTAATTGTCATTAAACTGAGTTGGTTTTTGTTGAATGTTATATTTCTTGTACCGTAAATAAATAATCGGAGGTTTAATGTGGACTGATTGCTTATCAGTGTATTATGTCCTCCTGTGAAGTGCTGCAATAGGATTGATGTATATCCTATTGCAGCAAACCTGCAAAAAATCAAATTGCTAGTTGCTTTTTGTATTTTTTTACAGAGGTTTATAATAAATGGAAATTTAAGTTTGTATTTAGATTTCATTCCAGTATAAGCAACATTAGTTCAATAAGCACTTAGGTTTGCTGTTTCAAAGATAAATTAATTTTGTTTTGATCTAATATAATCACACAATAGATATATAAAATGATTCTACACAAATTATTTATGCTGAAGAAGGATTACATAGGAGACAATGTTTTGTTTTATACTAAGCAGTTTTATATATCTTAGTAACCAATAGGTATAGATAGATTTAAAATGTATTTTATGAAATTGTCACTCTTTTTAGCTGGTTTTTAAGGTAAAAGATTGATTTCAGAGCACAAAGCCCCATTGTCAGAACACATTGATCTGGTTACTTATTCAAACAAATGTTGGTTTATACGTCTAAGTCAAATTTCAATAAAGTAAGATACTACAGAAGACACATGAATATGTGCAAATCTAACACTTTATACTTCCAAAGTTTTTGTCTTCAAAGAACCGACCCTAAAATGAAAAGTAGAGTTATCCTAGGTGTTGATCATACCACGTAGAATATAGTAATAGCTTTAAGTACATTTGCTAAAACCAAACTTAAATAGGCTTTTAAATATCTGACTACACCCAAAAACTGTAACACAAAATGCTTCACATAGATGATATTTGGGAACAAACATACTATACCTTGGGTTTCTGAATCACTGGAAGGAACATCTATCTGAGAAGTAGTTGCTGTCTTGGTATGGACAGAGTCATCTTTGTCCTCATCTAAAACAATAACTGAATACATAGTAGACAGGATAGGAAATACACACTGTATGGACAGATATATTTCTATCATTGAATGAAGTTTAGAAATATAAATCTGCCATTTTATTGAATAAGTAATTATAATATAAATATTTTAGGTAAAAAACAATCAGAAGTTGTAAACAGGGAGGAGAAAAATTAATAATATTAATTTAAATTACAGCCCTACTGCCTCTTTTACAAATGCCTCCACCTTTTTAGGGGATATGATCAAAATTTCTACTGTTGGGAAAAAAGTTAGACTCTAAAATAATAAAAGAAATAATATTTTTTTAGTTTTTAACTTGATTATTCAAGTATTTTCACACATTGTACAAATATATGTTCCTCGTCACGTTGTCCGATCAACCTGACAGCGATTCTTGTGAACACGACAACATGTGTGTGTAAATCAAGACTATAGTGTTAGGGAAAAGGAGATTAAGGGTGCGCTCTACCTCAGCTCGGAAATCTCAGAACGATGTTCGAAGTGTCCGCCAGACTGCGCCGTGTCGGTGCAACCTAGTTGGAGGGGAAGTGGTGGGAGGAGCTAGGACTGCTACGCTAGGCAGCCATAGCTCAGTGTAGGCAGCGCCCTGCGGACTGCGGAGCTCCCGACGCACACACGCGCAAGCGCAACCGGGTTGTTATTCGCGCGTCCGCGTATCTTTTGCTTCTTCTCAACCTCCATCATGCCCTGCCACCGACACTCACTGGCAGCAACGTGACGTTCGCTATCGCTCCCATAAGCTTATACAGTAAAAAGTAAAACATTTCTAAATATTGAGTCTTGTTTGTCATTATTGAATAAAAAAAAATACTTTAGTTATACTTTGTAAAGTATCACTACATTAAATTATAGTAATCTTAAGGTTTTTTTTTAAATCAACTGTTATATTTATTTATTTTCTTTTGTTGATGTTTAAGATTTTCATTATTATTTAACTCTATTCCAACTGTAGCTACACCGTAATGGGCACAGAATCAGTCGGTATCTCACACATTCTTGGGGATTATAATTATGTAATTAATGTTTACAAAAATGTAGGGATGGTCAAGTCTCAAAATTTCGGGAAATTTTCAATCTCGTTACACGAGACGAGATTACTTTTTGGCCGAGATTTTTATCGAGACGAGAATAAAAAATAAAAAAAATTAAAAACGCCTGCAGAAAGTCAATGCAATACCCGCAATACAGGAGCGTGTTGTAGTTGCGTTTCCTTTTCGAAGGCGTTCTTATTTAACTAATTCTTTTAATGTAAATATTACTTTAATTCTTTTAATGTAAATATTACTTTCATTATTTTAATAATATTACTTTAATAACATTTGAGAAGTTTTGTTAAGTGTAAGCAGTGTGAGGAATGTTTTATTACTATAAAAAAGTCAAAACAAGTAACTATTTTATAAAAATTAATATTGCTTTTATTTTATGATTTATTTTATTTTAGGATAAGTTGAACTCTATCCTAACTGATATCACCATGTTTCCTAATCGTAGGCATTTTTAATAAGTTAGGCGTGATTAATAAAAAAATGTTATGCTGATGTTATTTAATGAAAGATTGTAAATATTCTTGCCTATTATCATTATTTTAGTATTTAAACAGTCATCTAACAATGTTACAAAATCAGGTAAAAATTTCGAACGTGCATTTCCCGTTGTGTATGAGAAGAGAAATCTCGTCTCGATCTCGTCTCAAAATTTTATGAGAAATAAAAAATCTCGTCTCGTCTCGTCTCGAACTAAAAATCCAATCTCGTCCATCCCTACGAAAAAAGGCAATGTTGATATGAAAATTTCATTTTTAAAGTATCTTTTATCACATAAAGAAAGAATCCACTCATTTATTTTTCATCGTTCATTATTGAGCAAAGCTCACTTTCCCTCACTTTGTAACTTCTTTGTTAGGGCAACAGAATGTAATGGCTTGACCAATTGATATGAAATTTGGCCAACAGCTAAAGAATACTGAGCACAATGTTTTGGTAAAAAATATTTGCAAATTTCCTTCTGGATTTTATTTTACGGGTCATGTTACAGACCTAAATTCAGTTATCTTAAAATATTCTTGCCTCGGTTTGTTCAGGTCGGAGGAGGGGGGGGGGGGGTGAGTAAGAGAAAACAAAGGTTAGGTTGGATACATTGTATAATATGCAGTTTGAGATTATAAACCCTACAAAATAATTAAATAAAATACCCTTGGAACAATTTCTAAAGTTATATCCGACTACCACAGAGAAAACTTAATTAAAATTTATAATATACAAAAGTTCTCCGGCTGTACAGTAGACACCTATTTACACAATTTACTCCACAAAATTCAATAGTCTGTGGCACTATGCAGGGACGCTGAAGTGAGGTTGCACAGCAATAAATAAAAGTATAAAGTCTGTCTACCTTGGTTTGATGATCTAGGAAGTCCTTGGGTTAACTCGTTACCAGTTTGGGTTATAATTATTGAATCCAACTCGTATTAGTGTATTCCAATTTAGTTATATTCCAGCTTCATTTACATGATTAGAGCGAGACATGAGATCCTTTGTAGGCTACACATAAGAAGCCTGAAATAACCCATGATATAAATAACAAGTGTCTTATTATTGATTATTTCATTGTAGATAAGCATTTTAATCAAATATTTTTTTGATAAGTAAACAATGCAGCTCAAAAGCTTTTGGTGAACAACATTTAAGACATTTCATTATTTTATTTTAATGAGACATTATTTACCTACTTTTAAACATAAATCAAGAATTCATTATACTTTTTTTTAACACTGAAAAATTATGAATGACATTACAAAATAGCTCTTTTTTTAGAAAGGGAGTATATACAGCTTTACAACAAAAAGTATTACAGCCTTATTAAAAATACAAGTTTACAAGGTTAATCAATTTTCAAGGATAAATATACAACAATTAAATAATACCGGTAATACAACATTAAATTGAACCATACAATGTACATACCTGATCAATGTGCCTGGTAAAATAAACAAGTTAATTTTTACTGTACAAAACAATTAAACACATGATAAAACAATTAAACACTAGAATTCATTGATACATTTCTGTCTTTGACAAAAGAAGAGCATTTTAAAATAATTATTCATTGCAAAATCAACTTTCAGTATGTATACCTTTGTTTCTAAACAATCAAGTAAATATAATTTCTCGAGTTACAAAAACAATTTATGAAAATGTTGTAACTTCAAACTTGTAGCTTTACCAACAGGTTTTAGTTTGTCCAAATCTAACAGGTCTGTACAATTCAATTTGGCAGTTTGAAATCAAATTTACATATTATTTAAATCACTTGAAACTACAAATTTCTTGAACACACCTTAAATCTAATAAAATAATACATGGAATAAACTTACCCTAAGGCTTCTGCAATATTTTTTTGTGTTATTCAGTAAGTTAAGATAATCCTGTATGAAAATGATTGTAACACAACTCAGATTTTGTCAATTATAATATTAACTCTTTCAATGCGGCCGTCATGTTTACTCTTGAAAATTCCACTTATCTCAATGATAAGGAATCAGTCGCCGGCGACTGACCCGCACGCAATGTGTTAATAGACAAATTTAACTGCACTGTACTCCGAACCAAAATCTGTGAACTAATACTGACTAAATAACAAATCTTCAATAATTATTGGACATAAATCCCCACAACGGGCAAGTAAACTATGATCCAACAAATACAACATATCCTGCTACTCAGAATTCAGAGTTAGAACTAGACACAGAATGGAAGAGTACAGAAGGGGTTTGGGGGAAGGGGAAAGGGGAGAGGTATTGTAGCTGATCGGACATGAAAGAGATAAGGAATGCACCTGAAATCCAATGTCTCTTTTTCTATCTTTCCTGTTTCCAACATATTTTCCTAAATTCAAGCTGGCTTAAATTTCTCTCCAAATAATACGTAGCTAAATAAATATATTTTTGTATTTTTCTTGTTTATATATATATTTTTTTTTTGTATTTTCTTCCAATTAAATAAAATGTCACAGTCACGCAATTTTGCTTGTTATTTTAATGTAAGTTAAAAGAAAAATTATATTGGGTTTATGGGGTAGCGGATTTCTACCCCCGGATATTTACCCCCATGAAAAAACGCCTACGTCATTTTGACGTCACGAGGGGCGGGGCCTATACACAATCGAGAAACAGCCCGCGACTGGAAATCTACCCCCGGACATCTACCCCCGGACATCTACCCCCAGACATCTACCCCCGGACATCTACCCCGGAAATCTACCCCCGGACATCTACCCCCGGAAATCTACCCCCGTGGTCAGCTACGCTACGTATCGGCCAAGATGCATTGTTGTAATTGATTTCATTAATTGGTTTATGTAAATCAACGGCTCATCGGTTATTCATTAGCTGATTATGCGAATAAATTTTTTTTTGTAAAACAAAAACTCAAAAAATACTTTACTCTTCTTGGGCAATAACCCTAAGTCGTTGCCAACACAACAATCGACACAACAGGTGTGTCACCAAAACGATGATATCATCAAAAATATTTAAAAGTAAATAATAAGAAAGCATATTCATAATAGCATATTTAGAAAAAAATATTGATTTCAGAATACCTAGTTTTTTAAAACTGCAGAATCTTGTAGTTGTTTTATTCCCAATAACATAAGATAAATGTTATTTGTTATAATCTTATTTAGCTACGTAAATCAAATATGTAAAATACTGTACCTATTCGATCAGTGGTCGTTTCCAAATTGCGACTTAAATGTTAACTAGTGACATTGATCTCTGTAGTAATAGAGATCGATGACTAGAAGTAGTCATCATTCAAATTTTTTCTCTTTGTACTGTGTTTAGGCCGTGGCTTGATTTTAACATGTGCTTTGATTCTCTGTTTTGAATGGATATTTTGAACACTTATTTATGGACCTAAGTTGACAAGTTTTGTATTAAGGCAGAATTTCCCAATTAAGTTAGGACTTA